AAGATCATTCCATAGAAGCAAAATTACTGGGTCAAAGGATATGTGCATTTGTAATTTTGACAGATCTTGCCAAATTTTTCTCCATAGAGATTATATCATTTACATGCCTACCTTCAATATTTGTGTGTGCCTGTTTCCCTTACCAGTATAATATTTGGTAATGTTATAGTTGAAATATCGTCTTTCAGTATTGTTTTAATTTTCCCTTCTTATCACAAGTGAATTTGATCATCTTCTTACATGCTTACAATCAATTTGTTTTTTCATTTTTTTGTGTGTGAACTGTTTTCTTGTGTTCTTGGGTTTTTTCTTTTCTATTAGAGAAATTAACCCTCTATACTATGAGTTGCAGGTTTTTTTGCAGTTTGTCAATTGTCTTTTGAGTTTACTTACTTTGGCTTTTCCCAAACAGAAATGTTTTATTTTTATTTAGTCAAGAGGATTGATCTTCCTCTTTACTCTTACTGGGTTTTCTCTTATACATAAATTTTCCTCACTGTGAAATTATATTTTTAAAAATCCCCATGAAATCTTCTATTATTTTTATGGTTATCCTAGTTAAAATGTGAGGAATGGATCTATCTTATTGTTCTCAAACAAATGTCCGGTTATCTCAACACCATCTGTAGAATAATCCATATTATCTTTGTAATTTAAAAAGTGAGTTATGGTTTTTGCAACAGGTAAATGGCATTTAATAAAGGCAGGGGCAACTGTTAAAATTAAGATACTTAGAAGCCATATCAACCAAGTGCAGCATGTGGACCTTACTGGGATCCTGATTTGAACAAACCAGCTGTCAAAAGACATTTTTTTTTTGTCAAAAGACATTTTTAAGGTAATCTTGGAAAATAGAGTAGGAACTGGATATTAAGATATTAAAAAACTTGTTAATTTTGCTGAAATGATAGTTTTGTGTGTTCTTTTTTTAACTCTTCATCTGTTACAGATAAAGAAGTATTTATAGGTGATTTGATATCTGGAATTTGCTTGAAACTATGCCAGAAATGACCAACAATCATATGAAAAGATGTTCAGCATCATTAACTATCAGAGAAATGAAAATGAAAACGAGATACCACCTCATACTCATTAGGATTGCTACTATAAAAAAGAAAGGAAAAGAAGTTTTGGTGAGGTTGTAGAGAGGTTAGAACCTTGTGCATTGTTGGTGGGAATATAAAATCAAGCAACCTCTATGAAAAGCAATATGGAAGTTCTTTTTAAAAAATTAAAAATGAAACTACTATGTAATTCAGCAATTCCACTTCTGAGTATTTACCCAAAAGAACTGAAAACAGGATTTTGTTTTGATTTTTAAAGATTTATTTATTTATTTATTTGACAGAGAGAGAGAGAGAGACAGTGAGAGGGAACATGAGCAGGAGGAGTGGGGGAGAGAGAAGCAGGCTTCCCGCTGAGCAGGGAGCCCCATGTGGGGCTCGATCCCAGGACCCCGGAATCATGACCTGAGCCAAAGGCAGATGCTTAATCACTGAGCCACACAGGCACCCCTGAAAACAGGATTTTGAAGAGATATTTTTCACATCTATGTTTAGAGCAGTGTTAGTCATAATAGCCAAGAAGTGGATGTAACCCATAAGTCCATTGATTAACAGGGGAAGAAATTGTGGTGTGTACATAGAATGGAAAATTATTCAGCCTTAAAAAGAAAGCCTGTCACATACTATAGTGTGAATGAATTTGAAGGACATTATGTTGAGTGAAAAAAGTCAGTCATAAAAAGACAAATACTGTATGATTCCACTTATATGAGGTATCTAAAGTAGTCAAATTCATAGAAAGTGGAAGGGTGGTTGCCAGGAGCTGGGGGAGAGGTGAAAATCGGGAGTTGTTTAATGGGTATAGAGTTTCAGATTTGCAAGATTAAAAAGTTTTGGAGATGTGTTTCACAACAGTGTTATTAATCTAACACTATTGAACTATACACTTAAAAATGGTTCAGATGGTGAATTTTATGTGGTTTTTTTTAGTCATGACTTAAAAAGTGCATTTAAAGATGCCAGAACAGGGACGCCTGGGTGGCTCAGTTGGTTGGGTGGCTGCGTTCGGCTCAGGTCATGATCCCAGCAGCCTGGGATTGAGTCCCACATCAGGCTCCTTGCTCGGCAGGGAGCCTGCTTCTCCCTCTGCCTGCCACTCTGTCTGCCTGTGGTCGCTCACTCTCTCTCCCTCTCTCTCTCTCTCTGACAAATAAATAAATAAAATCTTTAAAAAAAATAAAAATGCCAGAACAAAAGGGCAGCATAGTAGATGAAACAATGACTTAACATTGATAGTGGTTGAAACAGGATAATGGTATCATAGAAATTCGTTATGGTATTTTCTTTACCTTTGTGTGTTTAAAATTTTCCATACGTTTTAAAAGTGAGATTTAGGGAGCATGGGCTTTGTAGACAGCTGAATTTGAATTCTAGTTCTGCTTTTTAATAATTGGAATATAATTCACATAATACCATAAAATTTACCATTTTTTAAAAAGATTTACTTAGAAAAAAAAAGATTTACTTAGAGAGAATGCACAGTTGAGTGGGAGGAGGGGTAGAGGGAGAGAAAGAATCCTTAAGCAGACTTCCACTGAGTGCAGAGCTTGACTCAGGGCTTGATCCCAGGATCCTGAGGTCATGACCTGAGCTGAAATCGAGAGTCTGCCACTCAACCAACTGAGACACTTGGGCACCCCAAAATTTACCATTTTTAAGGTGTATAAGTTGTAGTCACAGAGTTGTGCAGCTATGATCACTAATTCCAGAACATTTTTAACACCCCAAAAGGAAACTCAGTACCTTCTAGCAGTCATTCTTCATTTCCCTTTTCCCCCAGTCCCTAGAAACCACTAATCTATTTTTCCCTCTCAGTGGATTTTTCTATTCTGGAAAGCTCATATAAAAGGAAACATATAATACGTGGCCTTTTTCTCTGGCTTCTTGCACTCAATATTGTTTTTAAGTTCATTGATGTTGTAGCATGAATCAGTGCTTCATTCCTTTTTATAGCTAAGTAATATTCCCTTGTATGGTTATGCCATATTTTGTTTAACCATTTTTTCTGTCGATGGACATTTGGAATGCTCCGTGGCCCTGAGCAAGGCACGTTGCTTCTCTGAGCCTCAGTTTCCTCATCTGTAAGATGGGACTTGTAACACCTACTTGGTCTGATTGTGATGAAGAGATGGAAGGTACCATACTTAGCACTACTCCTGGTACAGATGAATGCTCAGTGAGTGACTTGTATGAGAGGTATGCTGGAACAAACTAGCACCAGTGGACAGCATAAACTATACTCCTACTCTGACTCAACTGGAGTTCATCATAACTCTAGGTGTAAATATGTTGCCACACAAAGTAAGGATTATTGGTTCCTTTGCTTAGAAAACAAACATGTACACACGTTGTGTGCTATCTGCTTATCAGTGACCCTCCCCTTGTGGACTTAATGTGTGACATGACTATCTGCTGTGACTAGTCTCTTCCCATAGCCTAGCAGAAGCTTTATGCATTGAAACTCCAGTCAGGTTGCAGAAAACTACCATTATTTTGTAATTTAAGTGAAAATAAAATAGGTTATTTGAGTTCAGCAAAAATATTTAGGTCCATAGGTTCGAGAGCCAAAATCCAGGCTTTGTTCCTTCTGGCCATGCGACCTTAGGAATCGCAATGTAAAAATGGAGATGATAATAATAGATATGGCCTTATAAGATTGAATATTAAATGAGTTAATGAATGCAGAGTACTTGGAATGCTGCTTAGCACATAGTATGTATTCAGTATCTGTTAACCATTATTACTCATATTGTTATGCTCCAGGTTTTATGTTGGAATCAGGAATAAAGAGATAAATTAAGTCTCTGTAGTCGAGGAAGTTAGCAAGGTATAACCAGTATGCAGATTATCTCAGTATGTTCTAAGTGCAGGGATAGAGGCATACACCGGAAGGGCATTTAAGGGTCTGCCTCTGTTACATGAAAAATAATGTCTCTAGGAAGAAGCCTGGTATGGTAGAAAAGTACATTCCGGATTCAGAACAGCCTGAGTTTGAATCCTGTGTACTCTCATTCATTATGCAGCTTTAGGGGCAGCCAACCTCTCATAGACTTAGTTTTCCCATTTCCAAAATGGGGTGACGTTTCTGACCTCTACCTGCTGGAAGTGCTCTGTGGTCTAAGATGTTCCTAAGAAAGCAAGCAAGGATTTTTTTAAAGGTTTATTTATTTATTTTAGAGAGACAGTGCAGCAGCCGCCCCGCCGACCCCGGTGAGTTGGGGGAGGGGCAGAGGGCGAGACTTTTCAAGCAGACGCCCTGCTGAGCATGGAGCCCAACCTGGGGCTCCATCTCACCATCCATGAGATCATGACCTGAGCCAAAACCAAGAGTCAGAGGCTTAAACAACTGAGCCACCCAGGTACCCACAAGCAAGGATTTTTTGGAAAGGTGTTAGATTAAAAAAAAAAAAGTTAGATGAACTTAGAATCAGATTCTAACTATGTTAATTTAACCTGTCTGTGTCTATTTCTACATGTAAGTTTTTTCATCCATACCTACCTTATTCTTGGTTGTTCTGACAATGAGATAATGTAGGTAAGGTATATGTGGCATATAGAAGGTGATGAGCAATAAATAATAGCTTTATTATCTTTCCAACAAAGATTTCTTCTGTTACTGTGTGCAGCAGAAATTTAAGTAATATATACCATGTTAATTTCAGTATTCTCTTGAAATGCCTCACACCACAGTTTCATGAAAGCACTGGGCATCTCAATGAAAACATAGATAATACTATCTTTGTTTATAGTAGGAATAATCAAGTTTGAATCTGGGAGACACTTTTGATGTTGTTGAGTATTGTGTTCAGCCGTGATCTTAGATCTTAAGAGTGATCTTCAATTTCAACTACAAACTTTTGTTACTAACTTTCTGGACTCTAACCAAATATAGTCAGTTTCTGTTACATGACATGTTCCTCTCTTCTTCCCTCCTAGGTCTTTCAGAGCCTTGAAGACCACCATTTGGAAGTGGTGGCTTTTTTCAGGGAAAATGGCTTCCATGGCCTTCTTGCCCATGATTCCGAGTATGCTCTCTACAATATTCCTTCTTACTACAGTTCCCATGCTCTGAAGCTGAGCTGGAATGGGAAGAATCTCACTACCAATCAGTTCCTGATGCAGGAGGTAGCCAAGCAGCTGGGCTTGAAGCGAATGAATTTTCCCATATTTGCTGCACTGCTAGGTAGGTATCCAACAACAGGCTCCAGTGATTGGTGAAGTTTCCTGTTCCAATGTTAAGACATGAAGACCAGCAATTTAGCCTGTCATAATTGAACTTATCTTTTTAAAGTCCACATGCTAAACACTGTACTGGGGAAAAACCAGCAGGCTTTTGGGCTGCTTATTAGAAACTCAGCACGTTTGTCTTATGAATTTAATATAGGACATCCTAGAAAATTATTTTGATTTTTGTAAAACTTTTTTTCTTACATTCCATAACATTTTATACAGAGTACTGTCTTAGGCCAAATGTTTTACTAGCCCCAGATAGTTTTGGTTACCTATTCAGAGCATTAACATTTCTTTCAGGCTGTCTCAATTTAGATGAAGAACACAAATTGTTGTATATGTTTTTTTTCTTTTTCTCTTGTGCTAACATTGTATTATAAGAATTTCCAAACACACAGCAAAATTGAAAGAATTTGGTAGTGAAAATCCTGTATATCCTATATCTACCACCTATATTCTGCCATTAACATTTTCCTATACTTGCTTTATCATATATCTGTCCATTCTAGCCATCCATCAATTTATCTTTTAAAGATGTATTTAAAAGTAAACTCCAGGGGCACCTGGGTGGCTCAGTGGGTTAAAGCCTCTGCCTTCAGCTCAGGTCATGATCCCAGAGTCCTGGGATCGAGCCCCACATCGGGCTCTCTGCTCAGCAGGGAGACTGCTTCCTTCTCTCTCTCTGCCTGTCTCTCTGCCTACCTGTGATCTCTGTCTGCCAAATAAATAAATAAAATCTTTTTTTTTAAAAAAAAGTAAACTCCAGAGAGTTGGTTATTTTTTTTTTAAAGATTTATCTATTTATTTGAGAGAGAGAGAAAAAATGCATGTGGGGGAGGGGCAGCAGGAGAGGGAGAGAGAATCTTTTTTTTAAAGATTTTATTTATTTGACAGACAGAGATCACAAGTAGGCAGAGAGGCAGGCAGAGAGAGAGGAGGAAGCAGGCTCTCTGCGGAGCAGAGAGCCTGATGCGGGGCTCGATCCCAGGACCCTGGGATCATGACCTGAGCTGAAGGCAGAGGCTTAACCCACTGAGCCACCCAGGCACCCCTGGGAGAGAGAATCTTAAAGCAGACTTCTGCAGAATGCAGAACCTGATACGGGGCTCAGTCCCAGGATCCTGAGATCATGACCTGAACTGAAACCAAGAGTTGGACCACCTGTCCAACTGGACCAGTTAACCACCTGAGCCACCCAAGCACCCCGAGAGTTGATTATGTTTTCAGGTGGCTTTCTAAGTACCTACAACATGAAGGTTAATATATCGTCTCAGGTGTAACCTCTGCTTATAATCCCAAAGGATTTGAGTTTGGCACATCTAATGGAGTCAGCACAAGTCATAGAATTAGGCCTGTGACAAATCGCTGAAGTCACACCTCCCTGGTTTCAATTTCTTCATCTGTGAAATGGAATAGTATACCTCATTGTGTTATTGACAGAATTAAATGAAATGAGACGTATAAAATGCCGAGCACTTAGTAGGCAGTCAGTAATTGTGGGTGCTATTATAAAAGGCAGAATGACTAGATGATAGATAATAGGATGGGCTTTAGAGCTTGCTTCTTATCCTGGTGGGGGCACTTATTAACCAAGCTACTATGGGCTATGTCCCAAACTTGTCTGAACCTCTGTTTCCTTATCTGTAAAATAGGGATAATAACACTCTTAGGCATGGTTATTACAATAATAAAACATATAATGCATGTGCTACATAGTAAGTAATCAACACATAGATACTATAGTTATTACATTGAGAATCTATACCTCTGTGAATTATTTGATTATTTTCTTCCCCAGAAGCCCTTTCATGGCCTGGAGGTTCTATGAAAACATTTGCACAGTCAATAAATGACAAATGTACTTTATAGGTAACCACATTCTTCCAGATGAGGACCTGGCTGCTTTTCACTGGAGCCTCTTGGGACCAGAGCATCCCCTTGCATCACTTAAGGTAAAGTGCCCCCATTTCCTGCCTATACATCCATGCCTAGGGGATATCAGGTTTTTTCCATCGGAGTTTTGATAGAATAATTATCTTTCATTAGGCTTAAAATATTTCAAATGCAGAAATTATAATTATGATCAATACCCTTAATATCTTTTTCCAGTATAGTTAACACACAGTATTATATTACTTTGAGGTATACAGTATAGTGATTCAATAATTCCACGCATCAAGTGCTCACCCAGACAAGTGCACTCCTTAGTCACCATCACCTATTTAATCCATCTCCACACCCATCCCTGTTTCTGGTAACCATCAGTTCTCTACAGTTAAGAGTCTGTTTCTTGATTTGTCTCTCTTTTTTTTTTTTTTGCTTTGTTCATTTTTTTCTTACTTAAATTCCACATATGAGGGAAATCATATGGTATTTGTCTTTCTCTGACTGATTTATTTCACTTAGCAGTGTATACTTAGCAGTATACTCTGTAGCTCCATCCATGTCATTGCAAATGGCAAGATTTCATTCCTGTTTATGGCTGAATATATATATATATATATATATATATATATATATATATATATATATACATACACACACATACACATAACACCCACACATATACACATAACACCCACACATACATACATACCACATCTTCTTTATCCATTTATCTATTGATGGACACTTGGGCTGCTTCCATAATATGGCTATTGTAAATAGTACTGCAATAAACATAGGAGTACATATATAGTTTTTAATTAGTGTTTTCATGTTCTTTGTGTAATACCCAGTAGTGCCATTACTGGATTGTAAGGCAGTTCTATTTTTAACTTTTTGAGAAAACTCCGTACTGTTTTCCACAGTGTCAGCACCACTTTGCCTTCCCACCAACAGTGCAGGAGGGTTCCTTTTTCTCCACATCCTCACCAACACCTGTTGTTTATTGTGTTTTTGATTTCAGCCATTCTGACAGGTGTGAGGTGATACTCATTGTTAGTTTTGATTTGCAGTTCCCTGATGATAAGTGATATTGAGCATCTTTTCATGTGTCTGTTGGCCATCTTCGTGTCTTCTTTGTAGAAATCTCTGTTCATGTCTTCTGCCCATTTTTTAATTGGATTTTTTGTCTTTTGGGGTGTTGAGTTATATCAGTTTGTTCTATATTTTAGATGTAAACCCCTTATCATATATGTCATTTGCAAATATCTTCTTCCATTCAGTTATAGGTTGCCTTTTCATTCTGTTGATTGTTTCCTTTGCTGCACAGAAGCTTTTTATTTTGTAGTCCCAATAGTTTATTTTTCCTTTTGTTTCCCTTGCCTCAGGAGTCATGTCTAGAACAATGTTGTTATGACCATTGTCAAACAGATTACTGCCTGTGCCCTCTTCAAGGATTTTTATGTTTTCAGGTCTCACATTTAAGTCTTTAATCCATTTTGAGTTTCTTTTTGTGTATGGTGTAAAAGAATGGACAAGTTTCTTTCTTCTTCATGTACCTGTCCAGTTTTCCCAGCACCATCTCTTCAAGACAATACCCTTAATATCTTAATGATTCATATAAACCTATGAAGTAAAATACTAATACCCCAGTAAATGAGATAATGAGCGAAGGACTGAAGTGGACAGTTCACAGAAGAAATATAGTGGCCAGTAGTATGACTAGATAGGTGTTAAATCTTCCTAGTGATCACACATGTAAATCAAATAATTTTTTTTAACCTAACAGTTTGGCGGATACTGAAAAATGAGTCTATCCACTCCTGTTGAGGCTATGTTGAAACTGATACTCCCGTATGTTTCTGGTGGTAGTGTAAGTTGGTGAATATATAACTTTTCTCTAATTCTTTCACTCTGCTAGTTCATACCTTTCCCTCTCTCCTTAAGCCGCTGATACTCCCTCCTCCTTGCTCACTGTCAGCTCATGAGCTAGCTTCCCATTTCACTAAGGAAATGGAAGCATTTGAAACAGCACTTCACCGGCTCCTAGCCTTTCATCTTCTCACCTACATGCATCTATGTGCCTGCGTGTTCTGCTTGCCTTGTGTTAACTGTGGATGACCTGTCCATGTTCCCATCTAAGGCCAACCCCTCTACTGACATGCCAAATCACATTCCCTCTTGCTAACTGAAGGGCATCACTTTTGCAATTCTTACTTCTTTCTCCTGCATCATCAGTTTTTCTCTCTTCATTGGATTTTTCCCATCAAATTTATAACCATGCATCCATCTTAAAAAAATAAAGCAAATCCTGCTCTTGACCTTACTCCCTCCATCCAAGCTATTGTTCCATCTTTCCTTTTCTCTATGGCCCACATTTCTTCCTTCCCTTATAGCAAAACCCTCTAGAGAATCATCTACACTTGAACTGTTTATTATCCATTTTCCCTATTCTTTCTGCAGTCTGTTTTAAATTGTTCTTGACGAGGTCCAGATGTTCATAATCCTTGATGTTAATAAATCTAATGGCCAGTTTTCAGTTTTCATCTTACTTGACCAGTTAGTGGCATTTGACCCAATTGCTTACTCCCTCTTCCTTAGAACATGTTCTTCACTTGGCTTTAAGGACACCACTCTCTTCTAGTTTCCCTCCTGCTTCACTGGCTGCTGTTACTGTTTCCTTTGTTGCTTCTTTGTCTTCTTCTCTACTTCTTATGTTTGGAGTGTCCCTGAATTCTGTCCTTGGTCCCTTCTCTCAGTTCTCCCTACACATTTTGCCTTAGTGATTAATAGCATCCAATCTCATGACTTTAAGTATCACCAATCCATTGATGACTCCTAAATCTGTATCTCTAGTGTTAACATCCCTCTTGAACTCCAGATTGTAATATCTAACAGCCTACTAAACATCTTAAGGAAGTGTATCTAAGTGGAAACTTGTGATCTTTCCCCTAAATGTGTTCCTCCCAGAGCCTTCCCCATTTTTATTAATGGCAGTCTCATCCTTCTAATTGCTCAGGCTAAAAACCATAGGTCATCCTTGACTTCTTGCTCTCTTTCTCACACCCTGTATTTCCTCTGCCAGCAAATACCATTAGTTCTCCCTCCAATATATGTCCACTTCTCACCATTTTCATTGCTACTACACTGGTCAAGCCACCATTATTTCTTGCTTGGATTATTAGAACAGCTTATTGACTATTGGTCTTCTGTTTGCACTCTTCCCTCCCCAAAACCTGTTCTCAGTACAACAGCAAGAGTGAAGGTTAAAAACTGATTCAGATCATGTTACTTCTGTATTCAAAATCCTCCAGTGGCTCTTCATGTCACTCACTCAGTTGTGACCATGGCCTACAAAGTCCTGTACTGACTGGCCTCTGATACAGTTATTATGTCATCTCTTCTTTTCTTTTGTTTGTAGAACCTTTGTACTTATTATTCCTTCTACTTGGGATGCTTTTCCCTCCCACATAGCTTTGTGCCTCACTCTAAGAGGTTTTCTCAAATGTCATACTCTCAGTGAGGCCTTTCCTGACCATCTTATTTAATATTATGTTCTTGTGCACATGCATGCACACACTTGAATTCCCAAGGCCATCCTCTGCTTAGATTTTCTCCGTAGCACTTATCTACATCTAGCACAGTATGCATTTTACTTGTTTATTCTGTTTGACTCCCCTCACCCTATCCTGACATGCCTACACTGCAGTTTAAGCTTCCATGGGGATAGCGATCTTTCTGTCTTGTTCACTGCTTTATTCTTAGTGCCTATGACAGTATCTAGTTAGTACACAATAGGCAGCAAACACTTGTTGAAGGAATCAGTGGTACAGCCTTTTGCCCAAACAATTTTATATAAAAAGTCTTTAAGAAGTTTATACTCTTTGACTAATTATAATTTTAGGAAGCTTGTAATTATATAACTGGAGAGTGAACAACAAATCATACCTACATTTTTATCATGGCATTAAAAAAACCCTGTATTTAAAAAATTTTCGAGCATCGTAAAAATAGAGAAAATAATAGCATAGGAAGTGACTATTGTAACATCTTCTAGCTCCAACAGTTATCAAGATGTAGCCACACTTGCTGGTTTTTTGTTTGTTTGTTTGTTTCTGTTGCTAATGTATTATAAAATAAATTCTGGACCTCAAGTCATTTGACTCGCACATTCTACGATATGCATCTCTAAAACATAAGGGCATTTTCATGCATGAGCACAATGATATTATTACTCTTAACAAAATTAATGATAATTTCTTGGTATCATTTTAATATCTAGTCCATTTTAAGATCTTCCTGATTGTCCCAAAAAGGCTTTTTTGTGGTTAGTTCAAATCGGGATCCAAACCTGGTCTACAAATTAAAACCTTACCTTTAATAGGAAAATAGTGAAGCAGCCAAATGGTATTATGAAAGAAAACTGATGAATTATGACAGTGTCATCAACTAGTGGCTCTCTCTATAGTAGGATTATAAATGATATGATGTTATCTTTCTTTATACTGTTTGATCTTTTCCAAGTGTTGTATACTGGGAATTACAGGGGAAAATATTTTCAAAGAAAAGATTTTAACTATCTATCAGTACATTTACTGAGTTTGAATTCTCTGTCTTAGGCCTACCTCACTCTTTTTTTTAAAAGATTTTATTTATTTATTTGACAGACAGAGATCACAAGTAGGCAGAGAGGCAGGCAGAGAGAGAGGAGGAAGCAGGCTCCCCACGGAGCAGAGAGCCCTATGTGGGGCTCGATCCCAGGACCCTGAGATCAGGGCCTGAGCCGAAGGCAGAGGCTTTAACCCACTGAGCCACCCAGGCGCCCCCTACCTCACTCTTTGTCTTAGTGATCCATCACTGATGTCAGTGTACCTTGCGTATCTTATCTCTTCTAGGTGCGAGCTCATCAGCTGGTGCTTCCTCCCTGTGATGTGGTGATCAAGGCTGTTTCTGAGTATGTTAGTTCCATCAAAGACCCCTCAAACCTGGATGTGGTTGGGAAGGATGTTTTCAAACAGTCTCAGGTAAGTTGGCTTCTACTTAAGAGTCACCAGTTTTCTTACCTTCACTAGTACCACCAGCAGATCTGATTTTTTTTCCTCTGTGCTACCTACCTTCTCTCCTTGTAGCTGCTTGTCTTCTCCGTGCTTACAGACCAGAGCCCTAAAGTTTCCTTTGAAAACAATACTAGGCCTGGGCTGAAAGGGTTCTTTAGCTTTTCCCCACTAATTATCAATGTTATATAAGCTCATTCTGGAAAATTTAGAAAATAAAGCCACTTAAAATCTCATTGCTCACAAACAACTTGCTGTAGTTATCACTCTAGAATATGTCCTTCTTCTCTTCTATTTGTTTCAATGTATACTTTAAAGAAGTTTTTGCTTAGTAGAGGTTAATGGATAATGAAAAAGACTACAAGGTCCACATAAAACAAAAATCAATACGTCATTGTTAAAAATGAAATATAGGCTCTACTGGGAATTTGTCTTGTGAGATAAAATTTAAAGTTAGGAAAATAAGTTAGTTTTATTTCTAATAATTTAATTTATACTTGTACTATGGGTTTTCAGTTTATTTTTAAAATTAACATAAAGTAAAACCAACATTTATATATGTGTGTATATAGTTTTGTGAATTTTTAGCACATGTATAGATTAAGCCACCCCAGAAATCTCTCATGCTATCCTTTTGTAATCACATCCAAACATCACTACCTCCTGCAAACTACCAGTCTGTTCTCTGTCACTACAGTTATATCTTTTAGAGAATAACATATGAATGAAATCATATAGTATGTAATCTTTTAAGAATAACATTTTTCTTTCAACATAATGCCTTCAGGAATCTTCTAAATTGTTACATATTACATCTATCAATAATTCATTCCTTTTTATTACCAACTAGTATACATTGTGTGGCTATACCATAATATGTTTATTTATCCACCCCTGGAAGATATTTGAGTTGTTCCCAATTTTTGGTGGTTTGAATAGAGTTGTGTACCAGGCTTTTTCTTATGAACAAAAGTTTTCATTTCCTTGGTGTGAATGCTTAGGATTGGGATTTTGGGGTCATATGGTAGGTACATCTTTAACTATAACTTTATAAGCCCCTGCCAAACCATTTTCCAGTGTAGCTGTTCCATTCCTCCCTAGCTCTTGTTACTGTCAGTATTTTTTTTACAGCCATTCTAAAAGGGGTATAGTGGTAGTTCTCCATAATTTTAATTTGCACTTCTCAAATGAGTAATGATGAACACTTTTTTCTTGTGTGTATTTGCCATTCATCAACCCTTATTGGTGAATATTCTTCAACAGTCTTTCGTCCATTTTTACACGAGTTGTTTATTTACTTGCTGTCGATTTTTGAGAGTTCTTTGTATATTTTTGCTTAAAGTCCTTTGTCAGATATCTGGTTTGCTAATATTTTCTCCCAGCCCATAGTTCATTTTTACATCTCTTAACAATGTCTTTTTTAAAAAGATTTAATTAATTAATTTATTTGACAGAGAGATCACAAGTAGGCAGAGTGGCAGGCAGAGAGAGAGGAGGAAGCAGGCTCCCAGCTGAGCAGAGAGCCTGATGTGGGGCTTGATCCCAGGACCCTGGGATCATGATGTGAGCTGAAGGCAGAGGCTTTAACCCACTAAGCCCCCCAGGCGCCCCTTAACAGTGTGTTTTGCAAAGGAAAAGTTTTAAATTTTCATCTGTTATGGATCATGCTTTTGGTGTCATCTATAAAAATCCTTTGCCTAACTGCAGGCATGCTAATATTGTCCTGTTTTCTTGTAAAAATGATATACTTTTACATTTTACATTTAGAACAAATCATCCATTTTGAGTTCATTTTGTATAACGTGTCAGGTGTTTTTGTTTACATTTGGAGTATGGATGTTCAGTTGTTTCAGCAGTTTGTTGAAAAGACTGTCTTTTCTCCATTGAATTGCTGTTTGTGTGGGTCTGTTTCTGAACACTGTTCTGTTGAGTTGACCCATGTGTCTATCTCTTTGCAAATAAGACTCTGTCTTGAATACTGTAGCTTTATGGTAAGTCAAAATTAGGTAGTGATCCCTCCAATTTTCTTTATCTTTTTCAAAATTATTTTGTCTATTCTAATTCCTTTCTCTCTCCATAATCATTTTAGAATAACCTTTTCTGTAGCCATAAAAATAATCCTGCTGGGATTTTAATGGGAATTCCTTATATTAAATATACAATTGACCCTTTAATAACATGGGGGTTAGGGAAACTAACCCCCCCCGTGCAGTAAAAAGTCCATGTATAGGGATGCCTGGGTGTCTCAGTCAGTTAAGGATCTGCCTTTGGCTCAGGTCATGATCCCAGGGTCCCTACATCAGGCTCCTTGCTCAGTAGGAAGGCTCCTTCTCCCTCTGCCTGCTCTGCCTGTTCTGCCTGCAGCTCTCTGTGCTTCTGCTCTCTATTTGACAAATACATAAAATCTTCTTAAAAAATCCATGTATAATTTTTAATTCCCCCCAAACATAGCTGCTAATAGCCTATTGTTGCTTGGATGCCTTACTGATGACATAAACTGTCAACCCGTATTTTGTATGTTAAGTGTACTATATACTGTATTCTTATGATAAAGTAAGCTAGAGAAAAAAAAGGCTATTAAGAAAATTATAAGGAAAATGCCTTAAAGTACTGTATTGTATTTATCAAAAAAAAAATTCACATATAAGTGACCCACGCAGTTCAAACCTGTGTTGTTCAAGGGTCGGCCGGATAGATGAATTTGAGTTTTCAGATCCAGTAATACAATTATCTCTCTCCATTTATTTAGTTCATCTTTGATTTTTTTCATCAGCATTATATAGTTTTCAGCATACAAGTCCCATACATTTTTTCTTTTTTATCGTTATTCTTTAAATTTAATTAATTAACATAAAATGTATTATTTGTTTCAGGGATACAGGTCTGTGATTTATCAGTCTTATAGTCTGTAATTCATCAGTCTTATATAATACTCAGTGCTCATTACAACACATAACCCTCCCCAATGTCCATCACCCTGTTACCGCATCCTCCACCCTCTCCCCTCCAGCAACCCACAGTTTGTTTCCTAAGATTAAGAGCCTCTTATGGTTTGTCTCCCTGTCTGGTTTCATCTTGTTTCATTTTTTCCTCTCTTCCCCTATGATCCTCTCTTCTTAAATTCCACATATCAGTAAGATGATATGATAATTGTGTTTCTCTGATTAACTTATTTCGCTTAGCATCAGACACTCTAGTTCCATCCACATCGTAGCAAATGGCAAGATTTCTTTTTTGGTGGCTGCATAATATTCCATCATATATACCACATCTTCTTCATCCATTTATCTGTCAGTGGACATCTGGGCTCTTTCCACAGTTTGGCTATTGTGGACATGGCTGCTATAAACATTGGGATGCAAGTGCCCCTTCAGATCACTACATTTGTATCTTTGGAGTAAATACCAGTATTGCAGTTGCTGCATCATAGGGTAGCTCTATTTTCAACTTTTTGAGGAACCTCCATACTGTTTTCCAGAGTGGCTGCACCAGCTTACATTCCCACCAACAGTGTAGGAGGGTTCCTCTTTCTCCGCATCCTCCCCAACATCTGTTGTTTCCTGATTTGTTAATTTTAGCTATTCTGACTGATGTGTGGTGGTATCTCATTGTGGATTTGATTTATATTTCCCTGATGCTGAGTGATATTGAGCACTTTTTCATGGTGTGTTGGCCATTTGGAGGTCTTCTTTGCAGAAATGTCTGTTCATGTCTTCTGCCCATTTCTTGATTGGATTATTTGTTCTTTGGGTATTGAGTTCGATAAGTTCTTTATAGATTTTGGATACTAGCCTTTTATCTGATATGTCATTTGCAAATATCTTCTCCCATTCTGTCAGTTGTCTTTTGGTTTTGTTGACTGTTTCCTTGCTGTGCAAAAGCTTTTTATCCTGATGAAGTCCCAATAGTTCATTTTTGCCTTTGTTTCCCTTGCCTTTGGAGATGTGTCCAGCAAGATACTGCCGAGGCTGAGATCAAAGAGTTGCTACCTATGTTCTCCTATAGGATTTTGATGGATTCCTGTCTCACATTGAGGTCTTTCATCCATTTTGAATTTATTTTTGTATATGGTGTGAAAAGTGCTCGAGTTTCATTCTTTCGTATGTTGTTCTCTAGTTTTCCCAACACCATTTGTGAAAGAGAATTTTCCCATTGATATTCTTTCCTGCTTTGTCAAAGATTAGTTGACCATAGAGTGAGGGTCCATTCCTGGGTTCTCTGTTCTGTTCCATTGATCTATGTGTCTGTTTTTGTGCCAGTACCATGCTGTCTTGATGATTATAACTTTGTAATACAGCTTGAAGTCTAGAATTGTGATTCCACCAGCTTTGGTTTTCTTTTTCAACATTCCTTTGGCTATGCGGGGTCTTTTCTGATTCCATACAAATTTTAGGATTATTTGTTCCAGTTCTGTGAAAAAAGTTGATGGTATTTTGATAGGGATTGACCTGAATCTGTAGATTGCTCTAGGTGGCGTAGACATTTTAACAACATATGTTCTTCCAGTCTACAAGCATAGAATGTTTTTCCATTTCTTTGTGTCTTCCTCAATTTCTTTCATGATTATTCTATAGTTTTATGAATACAGATACTTTGCCTCTTTGGTTAGGTTTATTCCTAGGTATTTTGGGTGCAATTGTAACTCCTTATTTCTTTCTCTGCTGCTTCATTATTGGTGTATAGAAATGCAACTGATTTCTGTGCATTGATTTTATATTCTGCCACTTTGCTGAATTCCTGTATGAGTTCTAGCAATATTGGGGTGGAGTCTTTGGAGTTTTCCACATAGAGGATCATGTCATCTGCAAAGAGTGAGAGTTTGACTTCTTTGCCAATTCGGATGCCTTTTATTTCTTTTTGTTTTCTGATTGCTGAGGCTAGGACAAGCCCCATACATTTTTTTAAAAGTTATTTAAGTATTTTATAATTACGGCACCTATTGTTTTTTTTTTTTTCATTTCAATTTCTAATTGTCCATTGCTACTGTATTAAAATATGATTGTTTTTTGTGTGTTGACCTTGTATTCTGCAACCTTCCTAAACTCACAAGAAGTTTTTTAGTAGATTTCTTGGTATTTCTGTGTAGATGATCAATTAAAAAAAACAAAACAAAACAAAAAAAAAGATCAATTGTCTGTGAATAAAGACAGTTTTATTTCTTTTCTAGTCTCTTTGCCTTTTTTTTTCTTACTGCACCATCTAGGATTTCCAAACAATGGTGAATAGGAGTGATGAGAGAGGCTATATCTTTTTCTCATGTTCTCAGTCTTTGGGAAGAGCATTCAGTCAGCATTAAGTTTTATATTAGCTGTAGGTTTTGTCGATGTACATTATCAGGGTGAGGAAGTTATGTTCCTCTTTTACTAAGAGTACTTATCATTAAAGAATGGTCTGTTTTGTCAAATGTATTTTTTTGCATCTACTGATAAGCTCATGTGCTTTTTCTTCTTTAGTCCATAGATTTTTGAATATTGAACCTTCTTTGCATTCCCAGGATGTGGTGAAGGTATACTTCCTTTCTTATATTATTGGATTTGAATTACTAGTACTTTATTGAACATTTTTGCATTTATTTTCTTGAGGAATATTGGCCTATAGGGGGTTTTCTTGTGCTGTCTTTGTCTGGTTTGGTGTATCAGGGTAATGCTGGACTCAAATGAGTTGGCAAGTGTTCTTCTTTTTTGGGGGGGGAGAGATTTGTAGAATTGATTTTTCCTCTTTAATTGGTAGAATTTGCCAGTGATTTCTTGCAGAGATTTCTTTGAATTTATGCTGTTCAGAGTTTTCTAAGCTTCTTGAATATCTAAGTATGTCTTTTACCAAATTTGAGAAGTTTTCAGCTATTTTTTTTCAAATAGTTTTCCTGTTCCATGTTTTCTTTTCCTTCCATGAGTATAATGACACCAATGTTAGAACTTTTGGTATGCCTATGTATCCTTGAGGCTCTATATTTTTAAATATAATTTCATTTTTCTCACTGATTTTCACACTGGATATTTTCTTTTGATTTATCATCAATTTCATTGACTCTTTCCTTGGTCATCTCTGGTCTGCTATAGAGCCCATCCAGTGAGGTTTTTTAAAATTTTGGTTATGAATTTGGTTATGAATTATTAAGTTCTAAAATTTCCATTTGGTTCTTCTTTACATGTGATCTTTTTTTGCAGAGACTTTCCATCTTTCTTTTTTGTTTCAGGAGTGTTCACCTTACTTTCAAGCACTTTTATAAAGCTGCTTTGACATCTTTGTCAGATAATTCCAGCATGTTTGTCATCTCGCCATTGAGATTCTTGGTCTTTGTTTCAATATAATAGGGAATGTTTACAGTTTTGTTTTAGGAGGCAATTGACCCATTTAGGTTCAGACCACAGGTTCTTACCATCCTTCTGTGGGCAGTGGTATCATTGTCAATGCAATTTTCAAAGTTTGCAGACTTATTTGGCTTGGTCCCATGTGTATGCTACCCACTCAGTATCCAGTCTGGGACTTGTTTGGTTGTTTATTTCTTCAGTTCTCGGAGTCTGTTGTCTGCTTTTTAGTGTCAGATCCACCCATTCTGTTGCTCCCTCTCTATTATCTCTTCAGTACTTCTGGTTCATATGGTTCCATCCTTTCTCAGTGTCTGGGGCTAACCAGCAGAAGGATAGAAAGAGAGGAAAAGCATCAAAGGCTCGCCCTACCCTACTGAGACTGCTGATTCTCTGATTGGAGAGGAAGGTTGCCATGCTGCCACATTAAGTTTGTTTCAGGCTGGTACACATGAGAACAGAAAAAAGGAAAAGAAAAAAAATTGGGGTGTTTCCGTATACTTTCTTGAGTTTTCAAGAACCCCTTTCCCATTCTTCAAGCCAGAACTAAACTTAGGTTTCCCCTGGTGCTCTCTGTCCACATCAGTGTATGCTTCCAGGTGTTGGGCTGCAGTCTGTCCACACCAAGGGATACTGCAAGAAAAAGAAATGCTAAACTCACACTTGATTCTGTGATACTTTGAATTCTGGTCTTCTTCCTGAGTCCTCCTGCCACTGTTTACTTTTCAGAGTCTTCAAATAGTTGCTCCTAGGTTTTATAACAACCTTCCAGTGGGAATAAGGTAGTGTGTTTACTCCATCTTATCTGGAATGGAACTCTCTCCGTAGATTTTTTTTAAGCAAATAAAACATGAAATCGGCACTTCTTTTTGGGAACATAAGTTTTCCTAACTAGTTATGTGGTAGCACAATCTAGCATCCATTACTTTACATCTAACTTTCTAGCATAATTAAAAAAGGGTTGTTTTTCATTTAAAAAAATGTACTTGGGCTTTATTTTCCCAAAGGGCTTAATTTCTTTTTATATTCAAATCATTATTTTTCCAAGTGCCTTTCCTAACATCTTCTTTCATAATTCTTTCTTCCACTATTGTTGAACATTAACTGTACCAGATATCTTGTTGCATGACTTCTAGCATGATGTACACAGTCCTCCATCATTTCCCTTGACTTAAGGAAATCTTGACCTTTATGATAGATTTTGCTCATTCACTTTGTTGATTTCCATTGTACTTTCAGCTGTTTGCAAAGGCACTGACTCACAAAGAAAGAAATTCACATAGTGAGTAGGGAGAGATGTTAGTGTTAAGTAGGAGATACTGTTTGGATGGAGAATAAATTCTCCTTCCCTTTTTTATTGTGATAAAATATATATAACATAAGTGGGGTGGGCTCCCAATCCGGTTCCATCCGGTTTTTCCACCGCCCCCGCGGCGCGTTGCAGCAGCTCAGGCGGCGGGAGGAGCGGCAGTGGGCAGGCAGCCCAGCTTAGCGAAGGCTCTCCGGCGCGCCCGCAGCCACCCGGCACGCGCCCGCCCCGCCGCCACGATGCCCCAGAGGAAGGTGAGCTCCGCCGACGACGCTGCGAAGGAGGAGCCCAAGAGGAGGTCGGCGCAGTTGTCCGCGAAGCCTGCGCCTGCGAAAGTGGAAGCGAAGCCCAAGAAGGCGACAGCAAATGATAAATCTTCAGACAAAAAAGTGCAAACAAAGGGGAAGAGGGGAGCAAAGGGAAAACAGGCTGAAGTGGCTAACCAAGAAACAAAAGAAGACTTACCTGCAGAAAATGGAGAAACAAAAAATGAGGAGAGTCCAGCATCCGATGAAGCAGGAGAGAAAGAAGTCAAGTCTGATTAATATCACATACCATGTCTTATCAGTGGTCCCTGTCTCCCTTCTTGTACAATCCAGAGGAATAGTTTTATCAACTATTTTGTAAATGCAAGTTTTTTAATAGCTCTAGAAACATTTTTAAGAAGGAGGGAATCCCACCTCATCCCATTTTTTAAGTGTAAATGCTTTTTTTTAAGAGGTGAAATCATTTGCTGGTTGCTTATTTTTTGGTACAACCAGAAAATAGTGGGATATTGAATGTGGGAGGCTTTGATTGTCTTGGGTGTCAGCTCAACATTCCATAGATGGGTAGTTTTTATATCCTGTAATACCAAGCATACTAAATGGCAATTTGGGGTCAGTCGTGCATTTAATATGTCTTGAATATTTTAAATTACTCCTTTTCCCATGTTGTTTTGGTAGAATTGTTGCCTAAAGAAAACCACTCCTAGATCTTGGCTCTCCCTGTCAGAATTCTTGTGCACTCTGTAACATCTTGGTTGTGGTAGTCCAGTTTTCCTAGTAACTCTGTTAATGTGCTGTGCAGGGTTGAAAATTTGAGTATGTAGTGTATATGATATTAAATTGTGAATTAATGAGACTTAACACTGTAACAGTGTATCAGCATTTGAATCTATTGGTACTTGATAACACTGTTAAGGAAAAATTGCCTCCAAATTTTAAGCTGGAAGGTCACTGGAATAACTTTTAGAAAAGAATCACAACTATGTGACTTTTTAAATTTTTAGTACGTACGTTAGGAATTGTGTACAAATTGAAATGTCTGTACTGATCCTCAGAACAACGAATAAAAACTCAGTTATGAAAAAAATATATATATAACATAAAATTTCCCATCTTAATCATTTTAAGTGTGCAGTTCAGTGGTATTAAATACATTCATAGTGTTGTGTACCCATCACCATCATCCATCTTCATTATTCTTCATCTTGTAAAACTGAAACTCTGTACCCATTAAATGATAACTTTCCATTTTCCCCTCCCCTCCAGCCCTTGGCAACCCCAGTTCTACTTTCTTTCACTATGATTTTTTTTTAAAGATTTTTATTTATTTATTTATTTATGTGACAGAGAGCAAGGGAGAGAGAGAGCACAAGCAGGGGGAACAGCAGAGGGAGAAGGAGAAGCAGGCTTCCCACTGAGCAGGGAGCCTGATGTGGGACTTCATCCAAGGACCCTGAGATAATGACCTGAGCTGAAGGTAGACACTTAACTTACTGAGCCACCCAGGTGCCCTTCTTTCCCTATGATTTTAACCACTTTAGGGGGGTTAAAATGGAATTAAATTAAATTCATCTAAATGGAATTAAACACTATTTGTCTTTTTGTGACTGACTTATTTCACTTAGCACAATTTCCTCAAGGTTCATCCATGTTGTAACATGTGCCAGAATTTCTTTCCTTTTTAAAACCAAATAATATTCCATCATATGTTGACAGGAAAAATTTTGTAAGTGTTCATCTGAGTGGTGAATATTTTTGATGTTACAGCTTTTGGTTCCCTTTATAACTTTATGATCTTTGGAATCTGGATATTGACTATTCATAAAAAAAAGGATCACCCTTTTCACTAAACAATAAGAACAAAAAATTTAAAAAATAGGCTTTGCTGTGAATTCCACCCTAAATGTTTTACAGTGTTTCCTAGTCTCCTTTGTATGTATGGATGTATGTATGTTTTGATGTGTAAAAATTTTTAACCTGCTTTTTTTACTTAACATTATGTCTTAAACCAGTTTTCATTGTTGTTGTATAATTTTCATACATATCATTTTTAGCAGTTGTAGAATTATGAGAGCTCTTCTAAACAAACATACAAAAACTGCTAGTTTTTTTAATAGCATTAAAGGACAATGTTCTACTCTGCTTCCCATGTTCTCTGGGGATCTATAGAAGAAAAGGGTAGGATATTATTATATATGATCATATATTAAATACTGAATATACTTCCACAGACAGGGTCCCATGCTAGACACTAAAATATAAGTGTGAATAAACTCTTCTCTGTTCTTGCAGAACTTTTGTTTAAATGGGAGGCAGAGGTGCATAAATAAGTAAAATGAAGAAAAACCACAATAAATATGTCACAGAAGGAAAGGTTTCATAGAAGTTGTACCCTTGAAGGAAGAGTAAATGTTATGTCAGGGCACAGAAGAGTGATACATTGAGAGACATACTCGTAATTCAGTATTTTAGGGAATGAGGTCATAGATCTTTATTCACTGATGTTGAATAGTTTACAAGTTAAGTGCAGAAAGCAAGTTGAAAAAACAGTATAATAATGTGATTCCATATATATGAAAAAAGCAAAACTATATTGGTATATATACATAATATGTATATGACAGGACACAGATCAAACTGATAACACTGGTCACTTCTGGGGAGGGGTGTAAGTACAGAGCTATAGATATTAAGGAAGACTGTATGTCTTTTATCTTTTAGGAGATTGTTAGGTGTGTAATTAAATATAATCTGGAAATAATAGTGAATATGTAACTAATGGAACCTTGATACAGTGGAATATTATTCAGCCAAATATCATTCTATAAGTCAGTAATTTGCATGTAATCTTGAGATTTGGGATACTTTTTCAGACAATTATATACTCAATAGATTATTGAGAAAGCAGAGTGATTTTATTTCTAAGTGAGGCTAGAGGACCTGGTGATCTTGATTTCTGTGTTTGTGTGCCTGAATGTTTATAAATAAAGACATCTGGAATGCTATATAGATCCTAGAATGTTAACAATTATAGATTCTGAGAAGATTATACATGTTTAAAATTTTACCTTTTTGGATTACATATTTTAATAATTTTTATATATTTCTTTTTTTAAAATATTTTATTTATTTATTTGAGAGAGAGAGAGATAGTGAGAGAGAGCATGAGCGAGGAGAAGGTCAGAGGGAGAAGCAGACTCCCCGTGGAGCTGGGAGCCTGATGCAGGACTCGATCCCGGGACTCCAGGATCATGACCTGAGCTGAAGGCAGTCGCTCAACCAACTGAGCCACCCAGGCGCCCATTTTTATATATTTCTAAAGGAAAAGTTTCTTGTAGCTGGATGGTTATTTTGTAGAAGGTACTCAACATTGGGGCTATATGGTGAATTGGGCACTCTCATGCATTGATAATGAGAGTATAACTTAAGACATCGGTTTTGGAAAGAGATTTACTATCGTGTCAAAAGTCTATGCATTTTAGACTTAAAGACTCCTGCAGATTGAAAGTGAGGAGATGGAGAACCATCTGTCATGTAGTGGACATCAAAAGAAAGCTGGAGTAGCCATGCTTCTCTCAGACAAATGAGCTTCTAAAACAAAGACTAACGAGATGAAGAAGGGCATTATATCATAATTAAGGGGTCTGTTCATCAAGAAGCTCTAACAGTTATAAATATGTATGCCCCTAACTTGGGAGCACCCAAATATATAAATCAATTAATAATAAACATAAATCCATTGATAATAATACAATAATAGCAGGAGACTTTAACATCCCACTTACAGCAATGGACAGATCATCTAAGAAAAGCAACAGGGAAACTTGGCTTTGAATAACACACTGGACCAGGTGGACTTAACAGATAATATTCAGAACATTTCATCCTAAAGCAGCATTCTTTTCAAGTGCATGTGCAACATTCTTCAGAATGATTCACATACGGCGTCAAAAATCAGCCCTCAACAAGTACAAAGAGACTGAGATCATAACATGCATAGTTTTAGACCACAACATTACAAAATTTGAAGTCAACCATAAGAAAAAAAAATGGAAAGACTGCAGATACATGGAGATTAAGGAACATTCTACTGAAGAATGAATGGGTTAACCAAGAATTAAAGAAGAAATTTAAAAATACATGGAAGCAAATGAAAATAGAAACATGACAGTCCAAAACCTTTGGGATGCAGCAATGGCAGTATTAAGAGGGAAGTACATTGCTACACAGTCCTACCTCAGGAAAGAAGAAAAGTCTCAAATACATAATCTAACCTTACACCTAAAGGAGCTGGAAAAAGAACAGCAAATAACCACCTAAAGGAGCTGGAAAAAGAATAGCAAATAAAGTCTAAGTCCATGAGAAGAAGGGAAATAATAAAGATTAGAGCAGAAATAAACTATATAAAAACCAAACCAAAAGAAAACAAAAAACCCATAGAACAGGTTAACAAAACTAAGAGCTAGTTATTTGAAATAATTGGGAAAATTGATAAACCCCTATCAAAAAGAAAGGAGAAAGGACACAAATAGATAAAAATCATGAGTGAAAGAGTAGCGATCACAACCAACACCACAGAAACACAGTTATAAAACAGTACTATGAAAAATTATATGCCAAAAAACCACGCAACTTGGAAGAAATGGACAAATTCCTAGAAACCTACAAAGTGCCAAAACTGAAACAGAAACAAATAACAAATTTGAACAGACCCATAACAGAAAAGAAATTAAATCAGTAATCAAAAATCTCCCAACAAACAAGAGCCCAGGGCCAGATGGTTTCCTAGGGGAATTCTACCAGACATTTAAATAAGAGTTAATACCTATTCTCCCCAACTGTTTCAGAAAATAGAAATGGAAGGAAAAGTTCCAAACTCATTGTATGAAGCCAGTATTACCTTGATTCCAAAACCAACAAAGACCCCACTAAAAAGGAGAATTAAAGGCAGCTATTCCTGATAAACATGGATGTAAAAATTCTCAGTAAACTACTAGGAAATCAAATTCAACAATACATTAAAATAATTATTTATCATGTTCAAGTAGGATTTATTCCTGGGCCACAGAGGCGATTCAGTATTCACAAATCAATCACATCATATTAATAAAAGAAAGGATAAGAACCATATGATCCTATCAATAGATGCAAAAAAAGCATTCGACAAAATACAGCATCCTTTCTTGATAAAAACCCTTAACAATGTAGGGATAGAAGGAACTTATTTCAACCTCATATAGGCCATACACAAACGACCCACAGCTAATATCATCCTCAATGGGGAAAAACAGAGCCCTTCCCCTATGGTCAGGAACAAGACAAGGATGTCTGCTGTCACCATTATTTAACATAGGCATCTAAATTAGCAAGGAAGAAGTCAAACTTTCACTATTGGCAGATAACGTGATACTCTGTAGAAAACCCAAAAGACTCCACCAAAAAATTGCTAGAACTCATATATGAATTCAACAGAGTTGCAGAATATAAAATCAATGTGCAGAAATCTGCTCCATTTCTATACACCAATAATGAAGCAGCAAAAAGAGAAATCAAGGGATCAATCCCCTTTGCAATTGCACCAAAAACAAGAAGATACCTAGGAATAAACCTTACTATAAGGAGGTTAAAAAAATCTGTACTCTCAAAACTAGAGAACATTTATGAAAGAAATTGAGGAGGACACAAAGAAATGGAAAAGCATTCCATGTGCATTGGAAGAACAAACATTATTAAGATGTTTATACTACCCAAAGCAGTTTACACATTTAATGAAATCCCTATCAAAATACCACCAGCATTTTTCATAGAGCTGGAACAAAACATCCTACAGTTCGTATGGAACCACAAAAGATCCCAAATAGCCAAAGCAATCCTGAAAAAGAAGACTAAACCTGGAAGCATCACAGTTCCAGATTTCAAGTTATAGTACAAAGCTGTAGTCATTAAAACTGTATGCTACTGACACAAAACAGACACATATATCAGTGTAACAGAATAGAAAACCCAGAAATGGACCCTCAACTCTGTGGTCAACTAATCTTTGATAAGGCAGAAAGGAATATCCAATGGAAAAAGAAAACAGTCCCTTCAACAAATGGTGTTGGAAAAACTGGACAGCAGCACGCACAAGTATGAAACTGGATTACTTTCTTATACCATACACAAAAATAAATTCAAAATGGATGAAAGACCTCAACATGAGACAGAAATCCATCAAAATCCTAGAGAACACAGGCATAAACCTCTTTCACCTTGGCAGCAGCAACTTCTTCATAGACACATCTCCAAAGGCAAGGGAAACAAAACCAAAAATGAACTGTTCAGACTTATTCAAGATAAAAACTTCTGCACAGTGAAGGAAAAAATCAACAGAACTAAAAGGCAGCATATGGAATGGGAGAAGATATTTACAAACAACATATCTGATAAAGGGCTAGTATCCAAAATCAATAAAGAACTTACTAAACTCAACACCCCAGAAAACAAATAATCCAGTTAAGAACTGGGCAGTAGACATGTATAGACACTTTTCCAAAAAAAGACATTCAGATGGCTAACACATGAAAAGATGCTCAACATCACTCATCATCAGGGAAATACAAAAACTAACAATGAGTTACTACCTCACACCTGTCAGAATGGCTAAAATTAACAACACCAGAAACAACAGGTGTTGGTGAGGGTGCAGAGAAAGGGGACCCTTCTTGCACTATTGGTGGGGATGCAAACTGGTACAGCTACTACTCTAGAGAACTTGGAGTTTCCTCAAAAAGTTAAAAATAGAACTACCCTACCATCCAGCAATTGTGCTACTAGGCATTTATCCAAAGAATACAAAAATACAGATTCAAAGTGGTACATGCCCTCCAATGTTTATAGCAGCATTATCAACAGTAGCCAAACTATAGAAAGAGCCCACATGACTTTAGGCTGATGAATGGATAAAGAAGATGTGATGTGTGTGTATACACACACACACACACACACACACACACACACACGTACAATGGAATATTACTCAGCCATCAAAAGAGTGAAATCTTCCCATTTGCAACAATGTGTATGGAACTAGAGCGTATTACGCTAAGTGAAATAAATGTCAGTCAGAGAAAGACTAATACCATATGATCTCACTCACATGTGGAATTTAAGAAACAAAACAGGATCATTAAGGAAGGGGGGAAAGAACAAATGGAGAGAGGGAAACAAGCCATAAGAGACTTTTTAAAGAAAGACTTAATTTATTTATTTTAGAGAGAGTGGGGTGGAGGGCAGATGGGGAGAGAAGGGACAAGCAGACTCCTCATTGAGTATGGAGCCCAGTGTGGGTTTGATCTCATGACCCCGATATTACAACCTTAGCCAAAGCCAAGAGTCAGATGCTCAACCGAGTGAGCCACTCAGGTGCCCCTAAACCATAAGAGATTCTTAACTATAGAGAACAAAGTGAGGGTTGATGGAGGGAGGCGTGTGGGGGATGGGATAGATGGGTAATGGTTATTAAAGAGGGCACTTTTGATGAGCACTGGGTGTTGTATATAGTGATGAATCACTGAATTCTACTGTAGAAACCAATATTGCATGGTACATTAACAAACTAAAATTTAAACTTAAAAAATGTGTCTATGAAAATGACCATATCCTTTGACCTAATATTTTCAACTTCTAAGAAGTGGACCTAAGAAGTCCCTATGAAATAATCCAAGAAATTTATGTAAAATTATGTTTATTAAAGCATTTTTATAATGATAAAGTAGAAATGACTTTAATAGTTTATATTCCATTTGATGAAATGTTAGGAAGTTCATAAAATTATATTCAAGAGGACTTTAAAATTACGTTGGAAAAGGTTTGATAAGGAAAAGCTCCTCAGTCAGCCCTAATCCCTCAGAGATGAGCAGTATTTGTACTTCTTTTGCCATAGATCGGTTTTACTTCTACTTGAACTTCATATGTACTCTTTTGTGTCTGTCTCTCCTTTCACGTAGTATAAGGTGTTTGAGATTTATCTGTGTTGTACTTTGTTCTTTTTAGAACTGTGTAGTATTCCATTGTAGGAATCTACCACAATTTATCCATTCTTCTCTTGGTATACATTTGAGTTATTTGAGTTTGGGCTATTATGAATAAAGTTCTTGTTAGCATTCTCATTCCTATCTTTTGGTGGGTACATGTAGTCATTTTTCCTGGGTAAATACTTGGAAGTAGGATTGCTGCACCATATGGTAAATATATGTTTAACTTTTTAAGAAACTGCCATTCAGTTGTCCAAATTATACCAGTATATGCTCCTACCAGCGATGCACTGCAGTTCTAGTTATTCCATATCCATACCAGTGCCTGATGCTTATAACCTTTAATTTTAACCATTCTGTTGGATATATAGTGATGAAACATTGTGGTTTTTATATATGTTTAAGTGCTTTTTATTTTAGTGTTCATACCTTTTGAACCAATGATTCCACTTTGGGGACATTTTCCTAGGAACATAATCTGAAATCCAGAAAAAATTTATATGTACATATATGCTCTTTGTTGCATAACTTACAATAGCCAAATGTGAGAAATAGCCTAAATGTCATGTATTAGGGTAGTAGTTACGTAATTTATGATAACATTTATGCTTAAAAATATGGTCATTCAAAATTATAATAGAAGGAGGATATGAAATTATATAGTATCAACTATAGAAAAATGTGTGTATTAAAATAGCCCAGCAATATGTCAACAAAAAAGTTTATTTTAAAATACTGGAAGAAGGGATGCCTGAGTGGCTTAGTCAATTAAGTGTCTGACTCTTGATCTCAGCTCAGGTCACGATCTCAGGGTCCTGGGATTGAGTTCCGTGTCGGGCTCTGTGATCAGTATGGAGTCTGCTTGAGGATTCTGTTTCTCCTTCTGCCCCTCACCCCACTCACATGCTTGTTCTCTCTCTCTCTCTCTCTTCCCCCGCCCCTCAAATAACTAAATCTTTTTTTAAGATTTAAAAAATAAAATATATAAGATAAAGTACTGGAAGAAAACAGACAAAAATATCTTTGGGTGGTGGTACTGTGTAATTTTCCCCCATTCTTATCTATTTTTTCTAATGATCATATGACCATTTTAGAATAGCACAAAATATAAGTAAACTTCAGTTCCTTATTTACTTATTTTTAATAAGTAAATTTACTTAATTTACTTTAAATAATACTTATTTACTTAATTTTTTACTTATTTTTACTTATTTTTTTTACTTACTTTAAAATTTTTACTTATTAATTTTTTAATTTTACATTTTATAATGCTTTCTTACTACTTAATTTTTTCTGCACCATGAAAAATTGCTCTCTGTGTTCTTTTTTTTCTTTTTTTTTTTTTTTAAGATTTTCTTTATTTATTTGACACAGAGAGAGAGACCATAAGTAGGCAGAGGGGCAAGAAGAGTCGGGGAGTGGGGGAGCAGACTCCCCGCTGAGCAGAGAGCCCGATGTGGGACTCGATTCCAGGACCCTGAGATCATGACCTGAGCCTAAGGCAGAGCTTAACCCACTGAGCCACCCAGGCGCCCTCTTTTTCTTTTTTAAAGATTTTATTTATTTATTGGACAGAGAGAAAGACACAGCAGGAGAGGGAACACAAGCAGGGGCAGTGGGAGAGGGAGAAGCAGGCTTCCCGCTGAGCAGGGCACCTGATATGAGGCACGATCCCAGGACCCTGGGATCATGACCTGAGTCTAAGGCAGACGCTTAACAACTGAGCCACCAAGGCGCCCTTTGGGTTTCTTAAGATATTTAATTTCTGCTACTGTTTTGACTCTTCAGTTATACATTGCATGAAAAACACACTCTCATGTTGTTTCTTCTCTTGAACATCTGATGTTCCAATGTCCAGTCCAGGACAGAAGATAAAATAGAGCGATTCAAGAAAGCAGTTGAATATTATTCTGTCACAACCAAACTCTCTTCACTGCCAGTGGGTCCCTCCTCCTTTCTAGGTAAGGCTTCCATCTGATACAGAGCTTCTGTATCCAAAGTGGAAACCGAGTCCCTCATGGGAACTCCTGGGCCAGAGTGACATGACGACTTGTATTGCACTCTTGTAGAAGTCGTTCCTATTTGGTGGATATTTTCCTTTCGATTTCCATATAATAAGAGTGGTGACCTGAGATACAGGGCACTGGTTTCTCAAGTTTGTGGATGGCGTCCAATGCCATTTCCTTTGCTTGGGCTTCTTCTGGCACTAACCTCCATTATGGCCTGGTGTAAGAAAAATAGACCTGTCTTTGAGTTCAGGCCTGAGTTTGAATTCCACCTCTGCTGCTTAATACCTATGTGATCTTAACTAGTCACATTTACATGTATGTTATGTGGCTCATAATACCTATTTTATAGGATTTTTTAAAAAATAAAATAATTTCTCTAAGTTTCTTGTCATGGCACATAGCTGGTGTTCAATAAATTATAACTTATCTGTTAATAATTTTTCAAGCAATGTGGGGTTAGCAAAATGTATATGGTAGAATTACTAGGATTGACTGAAGTATAACCCTTTCTCTTGGCTTCAGGTCTTCGAAATAATCGGCTTGGAAATCCTCCCCTTCCACGAAATCAGATGAGCACTATCTCTGCTGGAAAGCCAATGGTAATATCTTTCAGGAGTCCTAAGACCATGTGTTAGCATTAGACTCAGGTTGCTTCTTGATTTTTATATTCTGAGTTAAGGAGTTAAGGTAATTCAATGTTATCAGAATATCAAGTGTTTATATACCTATGTTGCATTCTCAACTCGAGGCTGGCAGATTATGTAAAGAAAACATCCAGGATTAGTAGCCACTAGGGCACTGTGAAGGTAGATTAGCTAATGTTGGAGAGTGGTTCTAGGAGACATGTATTGGTCCATTGTCCTGCCCCTGGAGGATTCTGTCCATATTTCACTGTTAGAATAATTTCTTATTATTCTCAATAGGTTCTTTGTATCCCAACAATCCCTGCTACTGGCATTATCCACTGTATCACAACTTCTGAGGGAATCATTCTGGAGCCTGTTCAAATGTTAAATAGCTTTTCTGTCTGTTTTATCCTTTAGTTTTCTCACCATGTGCCCCAGAAAATGAAATATCCACCACCATTCCCAATGGGACCCAACTCCTCTCTTCTCTTCTCTCCCCATGCTTTGGGGGAATCCCATGCTTTTTCTGAGGATCCCATGCTGCAGGACAGCCCCTTTGCCAATTGGGCTGTCTCTTATGACTCCTCTGCATCCCATTTTCCCAATTACTTGACTTCCAAAACCTCACCTCCTTTGGGACCAGACTCTTCTCACTCCTCTTCCTCTGATGGTGATGAACCAAATGGAACCAGCTCTGAGTAAGTATCTCAATAGGCACTCAAGCGAACAGACTTCTGGAGAATCTCTCTCTCTCTCTCTCTCTCTCTCTCTCTATATATATATATATATATATATTTTTTTTTTTTTTTTTTTTTGCTTGTAACCTGGGTGGGGCGTGGGGAAGTATATGTTTCTGGCTTTTCTCTGTGGATCTTCACTCTTAAATGAAGTAGAAAGACTCTATGCTTGACTACTTCATACTCATATTGACTCTGCACCGGTGGTAATTTTCAGCTACCCATGCCCCTGAAATAAAAGGAAGCATTGCAGCTGGTTAGGGAAGCTGTAGGTATGGGTGTGCTACATTTCATGGCTGTCATTTTTTAATTTTGAGAAGGATGGATTGAATGTAGAAAAAAATGATAAGATTTATAGAATTGAAGTATTATATGCAGCCATCCAAAGAAATGAAATCTAGCCATTTGCAATGACGTGGATGGAACTAGAGGGTATTATGTTGAGCGAAATAAGTCAATCAGAGAAAGACAGTTGTCATATGATCTCCCTGATATGAGGAATTTGAGAGGCAGGGTGGGGGATTTGGAGGGTAGGGAAGGAAAAAATGAAACAAGATGGGATCAGGAGGGAGATAAACCATAAGAGACTCTTAATCTCACAAAACAAACTGAGGGTTGATGGAAGGGGTAGGGAGAGGGTGGTTGGGTTATGGACATTGGGGAGGATATGTGCTATGGTGAGTGCTGTGAAATGTGTAAGCCTGATGATTCACAGACCTGTACCCCTGGGGCTAATAATACATTATATGTTAATAAAAATAATCTTAAAAAAAGAATTGAAGTATTAAAACAGTTGAGTATGCAGTTACCTTGCTGAAGACAGTGTTCTGAGGATGAAAACAGTGGTATTTTATACTAGCTTATTTGTTCTTAGATTATTTCTCCAAGCAGATTCTTCCTGGGAAACACTGAGGTTTCAATTGTAATTAGTTTCTTAGAATGTAAGCTGACTCTAGACATGGCCTTTTATAAGGTGTAGAGGAAATGAATCAGGTCCAATACTAATTTAGTGTCTTGATTTCCAGAGGGTCTAGAAGAATCCTTAGCCTCAGAACAGACATCTTCAGTTGGAATGTCTTTTTTTTTTTTTTTACTATACTCATATGTTTATATCTTTGTTTTTTTCCAGCTGAATTATCTTATTATGTTAGTTACCATACATCATTAGTTTTTGATGTAGTATTCAGTGATTCATTATTTGCATATAACACCCAGTGCTTGTTACTCCTTATCTCTTCTACATGATCTTTTGAAATTTTTAGTCACATCACAGAAACACTTCAGCAGCAGCCTGGATGGGAGGATCCAAATGGTGACAGAGGATCCTGGGTACAGCCCATCGATGCTGGAGTTGCAGATACCAGCCTGGGTGATGGAGAGCCCCACATCCCATCCCTGCTATCTATGTCTACAAGGAACCACATGGACATCACCATTCCCCCCTTACCTCCAGTAGCTCCCGAAGTCTTACGGGTTGCTGAACACAGACACCGAAGGGGTCTTATGTACCCATATATCTATCATGTCCTCACTAAGGTAAGAGAGCACATCAGCACCTACCTCCCTGCTTTCAACATTGTACTACACACTTCTAGAACCATAAGTTACCAGAGAAAATTCTAATTGGTTCTGAAGGGAGATAAAATACCAAGTATCCTGGGGCCCCTCATTGTATTAAGGGCCTCAGGTAAAGTGATGCCAGCAGGAGATGGAACTTTATAATAAATGAGGCCCCAAGAAGAGAACTGTAATTGTGAGATGTCAAAGAAGATCATGCACCATATTGATAGACTGTGGACTTAGGGCTGGACACAATCTAAGAAAAGGTTTTATGCCCTTGTTCTTTACACCCTTGTTCTTTACTTCTTCTTCTACTTTTCCAGAGTTGTTCCCTTCCTCCAGTCTTACTATACAAATCTATCCCCCAGCGAAATGTCTAAGATGTGACTTTCTCCATTTAGTCAGCTACAGTCAGTCATAGCAGAGACTCTAAAAATGGAGCATAGCTTTTAAGCTGGCTATAATCAGGGGGCTTATTACACCTTCTTTTTATTCTGAAACTGTTAAATACAAGTAGAAAATTTGGTAGCTTGGCTACAGAGGCTGTAGTTCATTACTGATTCTTCTCAGCTCAATTCCAAATCTTGAGGTATCTCATTTTGTTCTTTTTCCTGGACGTTTTTTGTTTGTTTGTTTGTTTGTTTGTTTGTTGTTGTTAGGGTGAGATTAAGATCCCCGTATGTATTGAGGATGAGTGTAACATGGAGCTGCCTCCAGCTGCTCTCCTGTTCCGGTCTGCACGTCAGTATGTTTATGGAGTCCTTTTCAGTCTGGCAGAAACACAGCGGAAAATGGAACGCCTAGCCATGCGGCGGCGGCTACCTGTAGAAGGTAGGTTTAGTTCTAGCTTCAACAGCTCTCTCAGAGCTTGGTGTGGAACAAAAATGTCTGTGCAAGCACATCATGATACTCTTGGCTATGGAGCAGTCTTTGAGAAAATACATAATTCACCAGAATACACATTAGTATGGGAACTGCATTAACTTAAGCCTCAATTCTTTAATCATTAAGCATTCAGAGTCACTACTACTTAAAAGAAGCATGCTGGACTTTGGGAATGTAGAGGTATATCTGACATAGATTTTCCTCCTCAGTAAGGTTTTGTTGTGGATTTGATCCCATAGAGAGTTGGAACCATTGAGATGTTTTAAGCTGCAGAAGGACATGGTCAGATTAGTGTGTTCAGTAGAACCCTCTAGATTTCTCCTTCTGGGAAGATGGAGTACATATACTTTTCCTTCTTTCTCCTGCTAAATACAACTGAAAGCCCAGGACATTATATATATAATAAGCACAAGACATTCTCAAAGGTGACAAGAAGAAGGCAGACTGGCTAAGGACTTTGGGATCCAAGGAGTAATGCAGTGGTGAGTTCCTTGGGTTTTCTTATTGCTGCATATATCCTAGACTAGTTGTGGGATAAGCTGGCAGCCCAGAAACACCTAATAGGTACAGACCAGTAAAAGCCCCAAGAAATGCCTTCTCACTCTAGTCAAAGGACCCAAAAGAAAGAACCTAGCAACACAACATATTTAGATAATAACCATTCTACACTAGTCAAATACCACAGAAAAACTGCCGCCCACCCTCACCCCTACTAGCAAAGGCCAGATAAATAACCTAGACCTCTATCCTTGACTGACTGTATAACAAGGGAGAGAGGGGAGCTGAGTGGGGAGCCAGGACTTTCATTCACTTCTGCTTGGCAGGAATGAGATAGCATCCCCCTTTATTCACGGTAGTGATAGCAGAAAATACCTGCTAAAACAACAAAATTAAAATAAGATCCTTTTAAAATATTAAAGATCCTTTTAAAAGATTGAAATAAGAATTTTAAAATAATATCCCAAATGTCCAGGTTTCAATTGGAAATCCTTCATCATACTAAGAACCAGAAAGATTTCAAACTGAGATATCACACCAAGGAAAGAAAGTCAGTGGGTGCCATCATTGAGATGACATAGATGTTTGAATTACCTGATAGGGATTTCAAAACAGCCATCTTAAAAATGCTTTGACGAAGAGTTCTGAACATGCATGATACGACTTAAAAATAGAAAGTCTTAGCAACGAAACAGAAGATAGAAGAAAGGGAAATTAAGAACTAAAAAATACAATAACAAAATACTCAATAGATGGGTTAAATAACAAATTGGAGACAACAAAAGAAATAATCAGTGAATGTGGAGACATAACAATAGAAATTACTCAGTCTGAATAATAGAAAATAGGCTGAAATAATGGACAGGGATCAGTGAAACTAAAACAAAAGGTCTAATATTTGTGTCATCACAGTTCCAGAAGGAGAGGTGGAAGAGGGTGGACTGCAGATGTATTCAAATAAATAATGGCTGGAATATTTTAAAATTTGGGAAAAGTAAGCCCACAGATTCAGGAAACTAAGTGAATTATAAATAATATAAACCCAAAGAAATCCATGCGAAGATGTATCTTGATTAAACCTGTGAAAGCTAAAGGCAGAAAAATTCTTGAAAGCCTCCAGAGAAAAGCAGTGCTTTACCTATTGTGGCAAAACAGTATGAATAACAGCTGATCTCTCTTCAGAAGCCAGAGTCCAGAAGGAAGTTGCACAATATTTTCAAGGGCTGAAAGGAAAGAAATGTCAGGTTAGAATTCTGTATCAAGCAAAAGCATCCTCTAGGAATGAAGGGGAAATCAACATATTCTCAGGTGAAGGAAAACTAGGATAATTTTTCACAAGCAGAACTGCAGTAAAAGAAGGGCTAAAGGTATTCCTCTACACAAAAAGGAAATGATAAAAGGAGGAATCTTGGGAGGAGCTTGGGAAGATGGCAGAATAGGAGGACCCTGAGTTCACCCTGTCCCATGTTTCCAGTTAGATATCATCCACATCCAAGTCAATAAACTGGAGAGCAATCTGAAGACTGATAGAACAAACTGCACAAATAGTAGACAGATCTGTTCATACTTGTTTGAGTATGTTGGGGGACTTCTGAAACAAGGGAGCTGGCAGGTGCCATTTTCCATCCCCAGCTGTCAGCATAAGCACAGAGACACCTGCTGGAGGTGGGGCTGCACAGACACTTGGCACCTAACTCACTAGCAGTGCTCCATGCCCCCAAGTTCTCCTGAGGACTTATCAACTCCAGGCCGCTGGTGTTGACCCTGGGCTCAGGGCAATTTTTTAAAAAAGATTTATTTATTTTAGAGAGACAGCACAAGTAAGAGGGGTAGAGGGAGAAGGAAAGAGAATCCCAAGCAGACTACATGCTGAGCATGGAGCCTGACACAGGATTTGATCCCACCACCTGAGCTGAAGCCAAGAGCTGGGCAGTTATGGGGCACCTGGATGGCTCAGTCGGTTAAGCATCTGCCATTGGCTCAGGTTGTGATCCCAGGGTCCTGGAATTGAGCCCCACTTTGGGCTCTCTGCTCAGCAGGGAGCCTGCTTCTCCTTCTTCTCTGCCTGCCATGCCCCTTGCTGTGCTTTCTCTCTGTCAAATGAATAAATACAATCTTAAAAAAAAAAGAGTTAGATGCTTATCTGACTACACCACCCAAGCACCCCAGGGCAAATTTTGTTAAAGCTAAACAGGTTCCCTACCCAGCCACCAGGTGCACAGCTGCCGCTGAGCACCATGCATGTCTGTCACACTGTGCTTAGCTGTGCACCCCTAGCCACACCTGTGTGATCTCCAGGACATGTGCCCCCAGCCACAAGCATGTACCACACTGAGCAGCAATCCTCCAGGCACCTTTGTGCACCCACAGGCATCATCTCCCACCATGCCCAGCTGTGTACCCCCAGCTGGTCTTGTTTTTCTGGCTGCCCAGTGTGCAGCCTCCAACTACTACAACACTAAAGGAGATCTGGCATAGGACTAGTTGCCCAGTGTACATTTTGCTAATACAACTGTCCTGTTCCTTTTCCTTGGTGGGCATGCCCCACTCCCCCAGAGCTAGCCTGCCTGGGTCCCACTACCACCATAGAGAGCAAGCATAACCCACAGCAGGCAGAGAGTCAGTGCTGATGACTACACGGAAAGGAAAAGGGACCCATAAACAAAAGAAGGCCATAAGCAATATACATAGGATATTCTCCTGAAGTGCCAGGTTCTGGTGAATAGGGGATTAACACTCCAGGACCTCTTCTTTATGAAGTCACTACTTTCAAGAGGAGAAGATGGAACTGACTTTGTTAACACAGAGAAATTGACACAGAGAGGCAGACAAAATGAGAAAACAAATTTATCCCAACTGAAAGAAAGGATAAGGCCAAAGCCAGAGATCTAAGCAAAACAGATGTAAGTAACATGCTGGATAAAGACATTAAAGCAATGATTCTAAGGATACTCACTGGACTTGAGAAAAGAGTAGAGTACATGTGTGAGACACTTAACACAGAGATAGGGATGACATAGCAAAGATAAGGGGCACAATAAATGACATTTAGAAACACATTTGATGGAATGAACAGCAAGATAGAAGAAGCAGAGGAACATGTATATGGAAACAAATGAAAATGAATTAGTGACCTAGGAGAGAGAGTAATGGAAAGTAATCAAGCTGAGTAAAGGAGAGAGAAAAGAATTATGCAAAACAAGAATAGACTTAGGGAACTCACTGACTCCGTTAAATGTAATAACATTTATATTACAGGAGTCTCAGAAGAGAGAGAAAGGTGGTCAGAAAATGTATTTGAAGAAATAACAGCTGAAAAGTTCCCTAAGCTGGAGAAGGAAGCAGATATTTGGGTACAGGAGGCACAGAGGAACCCCAACAGATTCAACAAAAGCTGACCAACAGCAAGACATATTGTAATTAAATTTATAAAGTATAGTGATAAAGAAAAAGTTCTAAAGGTAGCAGGTAAAACAAGTCATTAGCTTACAAGGGAAAAATCATAAGGCTAGCAGGAGATTTTGCAACAGAAGCTTTGCAAGCCAGAAAGGAGTGGCACGATATATTTGAAGAGCTGAATGGGAGAAATCAAGAGTCAAGAATACTCTATCCAGCAATGCTGTCATTCAAAATAGAAGGAGACTTAAAGAGTTCCCCAGACAAACAAACCTAAAGCAGTTCATGACCACTAAACCAGCCCTACAAGAAATATTAAAATGTGAGACCTGATGTTATAAAAATCCTAGAAGAGAACGCAGGCAGTAACGTCTTCGTCATTAGCTGTGGTAGCTTCTTTATAGATAGGCCTCTCGAGGCAAGTGAAACAAAAGCAAAAATAAACTCTTGGGACTATATCAAATAAAAAGATTCTGCACTGCAAAGGAAACAATCAAAACTAAAAGGCAGAATGGGAGAAGATATTTGCAAATGACATATCCACTAAAAGGCTAGTATCCAAAATATATAAAGGACTTACAAAACTCAAACCCTAAAAACAAATAACCCAATTAAAAATTGGGCAGAAGACATGAACAGACATTTCTCCAAAGAAGACATCTAGGTAGCCAACAGGTACATGAAAAGATGCTCAACATCACTCATCATCAAGGAAGTGCATATCAAAACTACAATGAGGTAACACCTCACACCTGTAAGAACGGCTAAAATCAAAGGCACAAGGAACAACAGGTATTGGCAAGGATGTAGAGAAGTGGGAACCCTCTTGCAGTGTTGGTGAGAATGCAAAGTTGTACAGCCACTGTGCTAAATAGTATGGAAGTTCCTCAAAAATTTAAAACTGGAATTACTTTATGAACCAGTATTTGTACTACTGGATATTTATCCAAATACAGAGACACTAATTCAAAGGGATACATGCACCCTTATGTTTATAGCAGTATTATTTATAATAGCCACAATATGGAAATAGCCCAAGTGTCCATCAGTTG